TCTGCAAGAACAACCAGTGTTCTTAACCGCTGAGCCATTTCTCCAGCCCTCTAAGCTTGTTTTATACCCTTCAGTACAACTGATTGGTTGAGATTATTTTCTAAGTGATCTGCTAATTTGCATAATATCTGCCTCTTCCCATGAAAGCATGACATCCCAAAAGAGAAGCCTATTCCATCCTATTCACTATATAGACCCTGCACATAGAACCATGTTTGTAAGCTGGGCATGGTGGCACACACCTTTAATCCCAGCACTCAGGAGGCAGATCTCAGATCTCTGTGAGTTCAAGGCCAGCCTGGTCTACATAGTGAGTTCCAGGACCTGACCCAGCTGCTGACAGGGCCACAGAAAAAAAAAAAAAAAAAAAAAAAAAAAGAAAAAAAAAAAGAACCATGGTTACTACTTAGCAAATAACAACTGCAAAAATTAAATATATGGATAAATGAGTTGGAAAAAAAGTGGCTCCCCAGCATAGAGGTTTATGTCTGTAATCCTAACCAGCACTTGGGAGATTAAGGCAAGAGGACTATTTGAGGCTAGCCTGGGCAACAATGTGAGTACCTAGTTCAAAAAGCAAAACAAAACAAACTGTCCTTACACAAGGGAAATCAGTCATTATCTCTTCAGATTGGATCTATTCCAGGAATGTTAGATCTGTGACAAAGCTGTAAGGTGAAGGCCCAAAGTTCATCTCACCTGTTCTGCTCCCACCATGCTAATTGGCTTGCACTTGAAGAGGTGGGTGATGAATTTAGGAATGAAGGAGCTGTGAATAAAAAAGTGACAAATTAAGCTTATATTCTTTGCAGGAAAAGAGCTCCAAAAACTTTTTAAGCCTCTACTCCCTTCCATGAGAAAAGTGAAAATCAAGGTAGACAGCATTGTGCCCTATACTACCACTCTTTCTCCAACTTTATCTCTAGTTTTTCTTAGGTAAGTATAGCCTTCGGATTCTAGGAAAAATCTCACCCCATCTTAAGCAACAGAGGTGAATTAGTTCTGCTTATGGTGCAGGGGATGTAACCCAGTCCTCCCCAGCTTCAGTCAGTTCCATTGGTTACTCTGGTCCTGAGAGGTAAACGTGGTCTATGTTAGTCCAATCACCTAGAGGGAAGAGCTTCATGGCAAGGCTGGTGTGAGACTCTCTCCTCCCTTAAGGTACTGTTGAATTTGGATATAACACAAGTACCTGTCATTCTACCACCATTCTGAGGTTGTGGCCAGCCTCAAAGACAGCAGAATATCCTACACCTTGATGATATCATTGCACCCCTGCTCTCTCTCTTTATAAGATTTATTTATTTTTATTTAAGTGTCTGTGTGTGTGTATGTGCATGTGGGAACCAATGGAGGCCAGAAGGTGGGCGTCAGATTCCCTGGAGCTGGAGTTACAGGTGGTTGTAGGCTGCTCCAAGTGGGTGCTGAGAACCAAACTCAAATCCTCTGCAGCAAGCAATCTTAACTACAGAGACGCCTCCAATCCCTGCAATCAACCACTCTCAAGTCTGTCCTATCTATCTCTAGACCTGGGGTTATATGAAAGTTAAAAATCTACCTTGCCATTCAAGTCAGTTTGAATCAGGGCTTTTATTACTAGTAGCTGAAAACATCCTAACAGCTGTAAAAATGGAAGACATACAGGTAGTTAAGGGTCTTAAATGCAAAACCAAGAAATAACTAGACAGTAATTGTCAGATCAAGAAACAAAATTATATAATCTTCAAAAAGTTTGCTGAGCATTGAGGGACAACCTGGGCCAGGTGGGATGCTGCTGCTGCTTTAGGGAGAGTAAAATTCCAACAAGTCAGGAGAGCTTTTTAGAAAAAATTGTAAGACATGAATCAAGAAAGCTGGGCTGTACTAATGTAGATCAAAAGCTGTGGAAAGTAGATGTGTGTACAATTGGGCAGGATCCCAAGTGAGCTTAACTGTCTCACTTAGAGAGGCTGCTGTTGGAAGCAATGCAGCCATGGATGGACTTACTTTGGTGGGGCAGAAGGGGAAGTTATAGAAAAGAACCTGATGTTCAGAGGTCAGATCCAGGGGCAGGCCTGCTGATCTAGAGGGAGTATGAACAAGGGGCTATCTGGAAGGGGTTCTTCAGAACTTAAACAAACAAACAAACAAACAAACAAGTCAGGCATGGTGGTGCACGCCTTTAATCCCAGTACTCAGGAGGCAGAGCCAGGCAGATCTCTGTGAGTTGGAGGCCAGTCTGGTCTATATAATGAGTTCCAGACCAGCTGGGGCTACAGGGAGACCCTGTCTCAAAAAGACCAAAAATAAATAAATAAAACCCCCAAACCCCCAACAAACAAGTAATGAGAAGCTGAATTTGTAACTCCTCACAACTGTACACATAGCTTGTTACCTAAGCTACTTACACTGTGGTTGTGCCGTTGAACTGCCTCTGTGTTAAATGACAGGGGTGGGCTGAGGAAACACAGGGATGACCCAGACACATGTCTTTGGAGGAGAAATCACAGCAATGTTATGGGTCATGGTCAAAGGCCATCAGGATGGAGGTGGTGGCCTACCTCTGAGGCTTCTAGAATTAGGCTGATATTTTACAAGGATGAGAGGATACCATGGATTAAAACAGAAATACTTTCTAGGTCCCAGGTTAAACTTTTCCAGATGTGGACAATGAGCATCCTATTCCCAGGGCACTCAATATGACCTGAGTAATAAAGTTAAAGGGTATTGAGAGAATGTGAGGCTGATACTTGGATAGGCTAAGCAATGGACTTCTTATTCACTTTGACCTGAACTCAGTCGGACCCTTGGGCACCCACAATGGAGATTTTGAGTCACAGTAAATTTTTAGAGATACGTCTAGCAGTGGTTACAGGGACTGTCACAATGTGATTTATCAGCAATGCTGTTAGCATACATTAATGATCACCCAGAGAGAGGAGGGAATGTCAGCTCTTGGTCCATCTGCTGTGCTGCAAACATAAGCACTCCCTGGGGAGTCGTCTCTAGCCTTCCTGACAAGGTAGAAACTAAAGCTAACTCTACAGCTACTCTGTTATTGTTGCTCCTTGGGGATTTATTTATGTCAGCCAGGGAAAACCCTAATTGAATACAAACAGGGAGAGATTTGGGGAAGAGAGAAACTTGCAGTTCTGAGTCACCAGTTGGGACCTGGATGAGAACAATACAAATACAGTAGCTTGGACAGCACTGACCTTCCTGAAGCTCTTCCTCGAACAACTTGCCAAACTGTGTGTCTGATAATTAGTCAGAAGAGACATTGGCCCTCATCATTGCCTGGCCTCCTGGGAAACAGTGTCAGAGCCAGATGCTGACTAGCAAAGGACCAAACTACTTCCTTGCTTCAAAACTCAAGCCAGAAGTGGCCACACACGAGTACGTGACAGGAAGGTATGCAACTCAAGTGCTCGCTCCATCTACCTGGCAATAGAGCTCCCTGACTTGCTCTTCCCAATTTCTAGTAATTTTCCTGGACATAAGGATCCACAAGTGGATAAATTCTGGCAGCTACAGTAAGTATCATGGAGAAAGAGGAAGAAAAGGCTCAAAGCACAGAACTGATGGCTCTAACCTTAGAAAGTTTATAACTGTCAGACATAAGGTGCATATACGAGACCACTGAAAAATATTGTCATTACTGAAAACCTGGGAAAGGAGTGGTTACATCTACACAATTCAGAATAGCAGGATCCTCTAACTCATTTCTGTTTGCTTTGGTGTGGTTAATGACCTCTCTGTAACAGTATATGGACTTCAAGTAGCACATCTGCTTTTTACCACTATACTCCTTTTGGGTACAGAGGAATATTAGTTTGCCTACAGTTAGCAGAATAAGCCTGGCTGGAAGGTGGGATACCTGGATTGTGAGCATACTGGGTAGTTAAGTATGGCATTAAAATAACCCAGTTGATCATGATACCAGAATCTCGTAGAGCTCTTCCAAGTACAAGCATGACCCCAGGGATCAACCACTTGTGTCATGGTAAGTCAGTATGGTTTGCCAACTACACAACTCTTGTGGTGGATGTGGTCATGGGCAGATGGTACATGGGCACCTCTGTGCCATCTGCCTATCTATGTTGGGAAATTAAAACTGCTCCAAAACAGGAGGTGTATTAAGAAAACAGAAACAACTCAGGACTTACTTTGCAAATTTAATGCAGAACTGCGTGAAGTATTTTCGTGTGGAAGCCAGGTTGTCACGGATGATGGGGACATTCTGCTTAATGTGAAGAATGACAGAAGTGACATAAGGGCTCTGGTCACCAACGTGCTCCACGTTCTGCCACTGCATCTGAAATAGAAACAGGACAAGACCAGGCTTTAGACCCTCTGCAGGGGAGTAGTATCACCTGTTACTGGGAAAGGGGGGTGGCGGAAATTAGGTCACCACATGGTATCACAGGGATTCACTTCTTCATCTTGGGCCATTTGCTGTACCAACTCTGTGAAGCAGTGGCTGCTTGTGAGTAAAAACAAGCATGCCCTATGACCCTTGCCGGTGCTATGGAGTACAGGCTCCTCCTCTTTTCCTATCACTCCCTCCATGCTTTCAGTGTCCTTCTCTTCCCATCAAAGCAGCCATCTCATAAGGAACCCTCACCCCCTCACTAGGCAGAAGAATGAGGATCTTTCCAAACCCACAGAGAGAGACACCACCAACAAAGACCAAGAACAGGGGATGGATGTCTACTTCCAAGCAGTTATAGGACGGGAGACCCAGGAAGTGGCTGGGCAAAATGAAACCGAGAGGATTAACTCACACACTTCCTTCAAGTGAACTGGGAGAAATTTGGGATTCTCTTTTTTGGGGTGGAAGGTTCTTGAGACAAGGGTCTCACTCTGTAGCCCAGGGTGCCCTTGAACCTCCTGCCTCAGATTCCCAAGTACTGGGGTTATAGGCATGAGCCACTATAGTCAGCTACAAAACCAAAAACCCCAAACCAAAAATACTATGGGTTTTTTCCCTAAGTAATGGAAATCAAAACCAGGTCCTTGAGCAAGCTAGGCAACTACTCCAGCACTGAACTACACCCCAGCTCTGAGTTCTGGATTCTTTAAAAGGAAACTAGAAATGGCATGATATATGAGGCTTGCTTTGATAACCTGGGGCTGAAGAGGGGCAGGGTGCAGATGAAGCCTGATTAGCAAAGCTGGAGGCGGGGACTCAGGGACACTATGTTGTTTTCTATACTTTGAAGATATTTGAAATCTTTCATGATCAAAACATTTAAAAGATGTGTATGTAGAATGTACCATTCCTAAACTAGGATTCTGGTGGGATTAACAGATGGAAAGGGAAGCGATCTTGGACAGACGCCAGGGGATAGTTTTAGGATAGTTGGTGATATGGGGATCAGGGCAGGAAAGAGGTGTAAGGACTGCAGGTGGCAGGATCAGGGGAGGTGAACACCATGGCAGGATCAATGTGGTCTTTGGCAAAGAATAAAAATGAGCTCAAGCTCTGACACCCAGAAGTGAGGGCATGCTTTGCAAAGCTCGAAGAAGCAGCACTGTAGTGTCTCCTGCCCCACCTGGCAGGCACTCAGCCCTGACCCTCTCCTGGAGGAACCCTGCTGAGCTGGCTTCTAGAGCCAGCAGGCCTGCCTGTTCAAACACTCTTAAGCCAAGCACAACCCATAGGTTCCATTCATGGAGGTCAGCAGCTCTAAGCCCTTGATGTCTCTAGCAAGAAAACACTACATTTATAGAACTCTTGGGGAAAGGAAAAATTCAATACTGAGAGTTTGTTTAAAAGGGTCCTATTGTACAAGGGTGACTGCAGCAGGGAAGCTGAAAGGACATGGTTTTGCCCCAATGTTTCTTCAAATCTGCAAAATTTGAATCCAAAAGCTTTAGGCATGTGCAAGTACGGAACTTCATCTTCACTTTACAGAAACATGAAGAGTCTTACACAAAGCTTTAAAACAGCCAGGCGTGGTGGCGCACACCTGTAATCCCAGCACTTGGGAAGCAGAGGCAGGCGAACTGATGTGAGTTCAAGGCCAGCCTGGTCTACATAGTAAGTATCAGATCAGCTGGGGCTACAGGGAGACTGTCTCAAAAAAGACCAAAAAACAAAAAAACAAAGCTTTAAAACTAGGTCCCATGCCTGCAATCCCAGCTGAGGCAGGAGATTTGAGTTTGAGGCCAGCCTAGACTACATAAGCAATACTTTATCTCTAGCAAAACAAACAGACAAAAACAAAACAAAAAAAAAACAAACCCAAGTAAACAATCACAGGCTGCTGATAGGAAAGGTGAATTTGGGGGCTGGTGAGGGATGGCTCTGCAGTAAAGAAAGGCACTTGTTGCTAAGCCTGGTGATTTGAATTTGATCCCTGGGGCTCATGTGGTGGAAGGAGAGAACTGATTATTCTAAGTTGTCCTCTGATTTACACCCACACACACCTACACACACCCACACCCACACACACCATGGCACACTTGTGTGTCTTCCCCAACCCCCAATAAAAAAATTTTTTTTGGTCTTTTTGAGACAGGGTCTCCCTGTAGCTCCAGCTGGCCTGGAACTCATTATGTAGACCAGGTTGGCCTCAAACTCAGAGATCTGCCTGCCTCTGCCTCCCAAGTGCTGGGATTAAAGGTGTGTGCCACCACGCCCAACTAAAATAATTTTTTAAATGTACTAATAAAGTCAGCAGAGACTGTCCTAGACTGCTTAGAGACTGTCCTAGAGACTGTCCAGAGACTGTTTCAGATAGCTGATGCCTGCCCTCGGCCATCTCAGATGACTTTGAATTTAGGTAGTAATTCAAATTGTTCAAGAAGCCAGGTGTAGTGACACATGCCTGTAATCCCAGCAGTCAGGAGGCAGAGAGGATTGCTTTAAGTTTGAATAGTCTGGTTACACAGTGAGACATTGTCTCAGAAAACAAAATAAAACTAAACTAAAGTACCTGAAGCCTGCATTATGAGCTCCTGCCTCTGCCTGGCACTATCCACACGTCATTTTACTCACTACTCACATGCATCTCACTTAGTTCTGATAATGATCTTATAGGACAGGAAACTAGGGTGGCACAATTGAGACAACCAGGCCTGTCTAAAAACTGAAGCACTACACCAGTGTGCTTGCTAGATATTTGTGAAAAAAAAATAAAAGACAAACCAAATAAGCAGCCCCTACTTCACTGGGCTAGTTCAAGGTAAGCTCTGTGTCTCATGGAGAAGCTGGTGAAATGTGTGTCCGGCAGGCAAATCTCTCAACAAAGGGCATGAACAGTGTTTGCACTGAAACGGGCATTCTGAATTATAAGACTCTAGCACTTCCAGATAAACTCTGGCATGTGACGTTTAAAAGTTACCCCTTTACAGTTGGAGTTTTCCTTTTGTGCTTTTTGTTTGGAGGTGGAGTCGTCTGAGGTCGAATACCATCTGGTACTATATAAACAAGAAATAGTTTTAAAAGAATGTTGTACCTAAGATGCAGTGTTGACAGAAAGAGCAAGCAAGGAAATGAAGACGGTAATGATAGAAGCCCTCAAGACCCTGTTCTGTTTTCTGTCTTTTTGAGACAGGGTCTCCCTGCAGCCCCAGCTGTCCTGGAACTCACTGTGTAGACCAGGCTGTCCTTGAACTCACAGAGATCTGCCTGCCTCTGCCTCCCAAGTGCTGGGATCAAAGGCGTGCGCCACCACGCCTGGCAAGACCTTGTATTTAACCATAGGTGACAATGTGGGGCCCAAAGAATCTGCAGAGCTCTGCTTCTGCTGCCTGAGGTGTGTGGTCCATGCTGATACTTCCCAGGGCAGATTCCTACCATTCCCACAGAACCCACTGCAGCTGAGAATCTGGACAACACAGCCCACAGCTAACTTACTACAAAACCTGCATTTTCTCTATAGCTATATAAAACCCTACAAGAGGTCTCCTGAGAAACTAATTTTTCTCAATTGAAAATTTGAATTCCCACCTATTAATTTTGATCTTGAAATTAGACAGCTATGAAGCACAGTTTCAGACATTTGGATTCTGGGAGCATTTCTGGGCAACTAGGCTCTTGTGCTGTGGTTTAGGCTTCTGAACCACAGGCTTCATAGAGGCACATAGGCACACAATCCCACTCTGTCATTCATGGCTAGGTCACTCATGCCTTCAAGCCTCTGCTTTATTTACAAGCACCTTCTGCATACACAGCAAGCCTTGGTCAGGAAATAGAGGGGAGATTATTTATGGCCACCTATTATGTTCCAGGCACCATGACTGCTTATGATGATACAGTGAAGGAGGTGTTATTATCCACTTCATAGGGGAAGACATGCTTGAGGACAATAGGTGGTTTGTCTCATGAAGTCTAAGTAGGCAGCTGGCAGGTCTGAGACCTACATGTTGGCTTGTCTCACCCTAAAGCCCACATTCTTTCCACTGCACTGGTACTTCTAGAAAGAGGACTTACCATCCTCAACAAACCTGAGAGTAATGGGGGGGACTCAGACTCAGCAAAACCTATGTTTGGACTGTGGGTACAGATACACAGATGACTGGGGAGTGGCTGGGGTGTGCACAGAAGGAAGAGCAGATGACTCATTGCAAGTCCTTAACTCTTAAGGAAAAGTCAAGATGATCCAGAATAGACAGTGAAGTAATAAAGGACTTAAGGGCTAGAGAGATGGCTCAGCAGTTAAGAACATTAGTTGTTCTTGCAGAAGACCTGGGTTCGAATCCCAGCACCCACAAGCCAACAAACAACTGTCTTTAACTCCAGTCCCAGGGGATCAGACAGCCTCTTCTGACCTCCACAGGCATTGCTCAACACGGGTGCCCTTACCTACATGCAGGCAATACACACATGCACATAAAATTAAAAAAAAATTAATAAAATATTAAAAAAATAAAGGGCTTAAGGAAAATAAGTATATATGTATGTATGTATGTATGAATATATTTGTGTGTGTGCACATGTGAGGTGTGTGTATTTCCAATCAATGGGGAGATAATTTTTATTTTATTTTCTAGACCAGGGCTTATGCAGCCCAGGCTGGCCTTAACTCTCTATATAGATGACCTTGAATTCCTAATCTTCCCGTTTCTACTTCCCAAATGCTGGCACATACCTCCCAATTGGGGTCCCCACACCCAGACTGCAGGGTGATTTTATATAACATTTCATTTTTTTGATGTGATTGGTATTAGGAATAGAACTCAGGGTCTTGTACATGCTAGACAAGTGCTCTACCACTGAGCTATGTCTCCAGCCTTTTTTGTATTTTGTATTTTTGAGTTAGTATCTCACTAAGTTGCCTAGGCTGGCCTTGAGCTTGTTCTTTAACT